CCTGGCGAAAGTGAACCTGTGTTGGAGATATTGAAGTTCACACAATCTGCAGAAGTTGAAATGTACAACTTCAATATTTGTGTCTTTAGTGGTCATAGAAACAATCTACTAAGTGACACAACTAACACATTGGTGCACACTAGTGTGAAAAGCAACAACACGATTAGGATCTATATGGATCTGAAGAAGTTGAACGTTGCAGCCTTCGAGGATATAGTTTAGCAGCTGACAGGGCCTCAAGTCTTTATTCTTAACTTGTTGATTCAAGTTGGTTCTAGAAGATACCACTCATCCAGACACTTCCAAACGACATGTAATACCCCACGCGGTAGATATTGTTTCAAGCAGATTCCCGTTGGCATCGATTTAGCTGTAGTAATCATTCAGGGAAAGATGGACTTCCGGGACAAGACAGGTCAGAAGCTATCAAGGGCGATAGCGGCTGGGACGAGGAGCATGATACACGATTTCAGAATCCTAAAATAATGTGGACAGGTACATGTAAGTTTCTGTCAAATTTGACGGTCTAAAATGCCCCACAGATGTTCTACTGGATTAAGATCTGGACGTTTTGCTGGCCAAGGAAGTGTCTCCATGACATTGTGAATTAAGCAACCAGGATAGCCCGTGATCTATTAGTTCTAGCATTATTATCCATGAATACAGGTCTAGTGGCCAGCGCATGATTGTTAAAATGAGGGATAACTGCTCTCTCTGGCATGCCATCTTATATCGAGGTTCGTTCAGATTGCCCAGTGCAGTGATCAAGGCAAGTTTACAATTTAAACACACCCTCATACCATTACCGATCCCACAACAAATGAATGGGTTTCCAGAATGTTGTTTGCATCCATTGCTGTATTTGACTGCATTCAGACACGTATACGTCCGTCTACCTTGAGTTCAGTCAAGCGGTGTGTGGAGTAACGGTATTAATTGATAATTAATTATTTGTTTTACATTTAGATGCGATGTTAATGAGATTTCACAGTGGACTTTCATCGTCTGCTTGTCCGAAGGTTTAGAATTCTACACAAGTTCAGTTCCTATCGACATTTGGACGGCTGTCGGGAGGAGGCCTTCAACTAAGTAGATACCAATCCCGCTTCAGAGGACGGAAGCAGACAGAATGAAAATCCCAGCCACCAAGGAGACTTTATTGCTTCCATGGTCTACAACACAATGTCGCGCGAGTAACGTGTTTGATAGACGGTGGTTAACGTCCACTCAGCTTTGTCCTGCGCATACACACTCTAATCTATATGCACGTTCTAATCACAAAATTGCATAATATTCAAGCTAGCTTACGGTTCAATATGTGCATGTATCTAAAGCGTCATTAATTCCAAATAAACACAGGCAGTCGATTGCTTTAATAACTCGTCAACAGTAGGTGACATGCTACTAATTATGTGCCGGCACTGGCCCCCTAACACGTTCGGTTGGAAATGCCCCCTCAGCCTTATATTTTGATGTATGTTTTAAGATCATTGGCTCAATGCTTCAACTAGATTTAGTGCTAGCTTATTTGTCTTTAAACACAAGAAGAGCCAAGGGGACTACAATGAAAGTAGTTCGAGATGATTATGGAATGTCAAACACTTTACAGACGTTGTAGTGTCCTATATCTTAGGCCATTCTATACTGGTTGACAACGCTCAACGACTGCCTTTTCTGGAGATGTCCGAGAGCAGGAAGAAACGACTTGATAGATATGTCGTGTACGAATGTGCTTTTTGTCACACACGTTAGGATCCGGTCCGAGCTGCACTAGCGTACGTTGTCTTGTGTGTTTCTCAGCTGGGGCCAATATCTAGGTGTATATGGCCTGTCCCTTTGTCTACAGTGTATCTACGACCATCGAACAGCTTAATGGATTTCGATTACCGAAACAAGTTTTGAACTCAGTATTGACGCGTAAGTCAAGCGAATCCTCTAACGTGTGAATATGATATTAAAGGATTTAATCACAGCCACCGATCAGCTTGACAGGCACACACTAAGACAGAATCTAATACCAACCACTCAATACAACTATATACCTGGCTAAAAACACTTCCAATGGCAGTATGCCATGCAATGCAAAGTAATATCGACTACGCCTATTCCACATTTACTGGCCCTACTATTAACCGTTTATAAATAAGCTAGATTCGTCATATATCATGCGTTTAGTTCTGCATTAATCATTCCCTCTAACGAGAGAGTTCATAATATTAAGAAAAAACACATTTGAATAAATTACGAAAGAATAGGGTAAGTTCAGCAAGTTTAGCATCCACTAAAAGGGAAATTGACGTGTTGAGCAGATGTAGTCACGGCGTTAAAAAGAAACTTGAAAGCAAAGATGCGTAGTTGGAGATTTAATGGATGTGGTGAGTTCATTTACTTCACCGAGACTTTAGTGACTTTTTATGAGAAATGAGATCTCACACAACCCAACCAAACTGCCACAGCAATGCGGCAATATGTCCCGAAGAAAGTGAGGAGTTATTTGACTTGTTACTGTTAAACACTAGCACCACGGCACTGTAACTAACCTTTTTAAAAGTATAAAATATTCTCACAATCGGCCACTTTATATATTAAGTAAATCTGATTCAAACCAATGTTGTAGTTTTTAGAAAAGGTGGTATTGTTGCAAAACATGACAAGAGTCATCAGAAAGATGACATATCCCCCCCGGCAGCTGTCTGTAAAGTAACCACAAGTAAATGTGCAATTCTGTATGTAATGAGTCAAGAGTTGAATTTTCCTTTAAAAGCCTACATTGTTTACCAACAAAAGATCCACCATGGTCGTATCCATATGAAATGGAAAGAAAAACGTGTGTTTCTGTCAGTTTTTTTATGCAAACAAATGACAAATTACAAGAAACAAGCGTATAGACAACGAAGTCATCTATATCCCCCACCCATTTTAACACGTTATGGTCCAAAACCAGGTAACTGACCCAACATTTCTCTTAGCCCATGTCAAAATAGCTGCAATGGAAATTCTAAAATAAACATTTCTAAAACTCCTTAATATCAAATGGAACCTGTTCAGTATGTACTTTATATATGGACATGCAATGTTTGGCAAGGAACTATTTAACAGTTTATTTGTTATACACCGTAAGTGAACCCACCCTATATAAAAACTTAAATCCAACTTGTTGCCATGTAAACGTAAAAAATAAAAATTTCTAAAATTCCTAAATATATAGCAAAAGGCACCAGTTCAACATGAGTCTGATAGACATGCAAAGTTTTGTAAGAAAATTTTGAATGGGTTTTGAGTTATTTTCCGGAAACGAACTCTACCCTATAGAACCTAAGTCCAACTGGTTGCCATGGAAACGTAAACAATAAATTAAAAAAAATATTCCTAAATAGCGAAAGGCACCAGTTCAGTATGTGCCAGGTAGACATGCAAAGTTTTGTAAGAAAGAATTTAACGGTTTTTGAGTTACGCTCCGGAAACGAACACCACCCTTATAGAACCTAAGTCCAACTTGTTACCATGGAAACCTAAAAAATATAAATTCCTAAATTCCTAAATAGCAAAAGGCACAACTTCAGTATGTGACTGATAGACATGCCAAGTTTCGATCAAATACACTGAATTATTTTCGAGTTCTGCCCCGGAAAAGGAAATGATTACGGACGGACAGACGGACGGACAGACAGACTGGCTGATCGCTATATCCCCCCGCATTATATGCCGGGGAGAAAAGTGGTTTCTTGGTTCGTCTAACTTGAGTGAAGTCACTTACTATAAATATCTAGGTCTTATGTTCTCCTCTAGATTGTCATGGTCTATGGCATGTAAGCAATTAGCTGCTCAGGCGTCGAAAGCCATTATGCCTCTTTATAATTTATTCAGGAAAAATAGTCGTGTGTCTTTTTTCACAGCATGTACTAATTTTTAAGGCAAAATTATGCCTATACTTTTGTATGGTTCTGAAATATGGGGTGCTAAGTATTACGCTGCAATTGAAAAGTTCACATTTCATATTTCAAATGTTTTCTAGGTGTTGGTAAGATTGCCTTAAAACAAGGCAATCCTTGGTGAAACAGGCCTTAGTAATATTTTTGTAGCCAGCCAATTAAGGGTAATTAATTATTGGATAGAGATACGTAGAATGTTGTGTGTTTTGGTATTTGGTTTTACAGACATAAAGGTTCCTGCATATGATGTTTGTGTGAACAATTATCTTTGTTCTTATACTTGTTCTTAACATTCACGTTTCATGGTCCCTAACGTTTTTTGACTAGTATATTGACCAACGTGATCTGTCCTCTTCACGAACATGCAATCATGAAAAAGACACCCAATGTTATATGGCAGCAGAGAATGTTTATTTGCAGTGATTGTCAGTGGCAGCATGATTGAAGTGCTGCTGAACTGTCCAGCGCTGTCAGATTTGAGCGGCAGACAACGGTAAAGACTAAATTAGAGTTACCGCCCCTGGTTGATGTTGGCAAACATCACAGGCTTGATCGTTTGAGAATTTTACGAATCGTTCACGTTCTCTTAATGCCGAGTGACAGACATTGAAACAACAAGTGCCATCTTTAAACTTCTTTTGGTATGACGCCGTCGGGGATTGAACCACCGCCCTTACGCTCTCCGGTCAAACGCTCTATCCACTAGACCACGGAGGCGGTTACTAGATTTAGAAGGCTGGCTGTCCCCATATAAGAGTGAGAAGTGGGCTGCGTCTTCTCTACTTTCCAAAGTGCAGATTGGAAACATATTTGAAAACACTGAATTCCTGCTGGCTTCCATCACTTTTCCGGATTCAAGAACCTGTTTCAAAACATTGGACAGTGACAAAAAAATTGCCATTCGTGAATGCCTAATAAGTATTCAATACTTAGATAATTTCAAATTCTTTAGAAGGATCATGTGTATAGTGTATTGCCAAGTCTATGAGTGTGGCAATCAGACAAGATCAATAGCGATACTGATATACTGGAGCGCAGTGAGCGCTGTGTCGTCTACGCAGTGAGCTCAAACAGGCAGGAACACCACTAATCAATTAGTGATTTCAACTCACTGCGTGATACAGGTTGGACAACACGAACTCCTGCTCTAGCATTTGCTGTCAACTCACTGAAGTCATGCACACATGGTATAAAAAGTATAAAGTTGAAGGTTTCTCGTCTGTGTGACTGGCAGGTTGAAGTAGATACGCAGTACAGGTAAGTTCTGTCGTTTTTCAATTGATTGACATCATTTCGCATCTGGATGTACTGAATCAAAATGAACAAAAGTCAAATGTCAAAATGGCCTTACTAGTATTTAAAAATTGGTAATTTGAAGTATTTCATCTTGGTAAGCTAACATCGCTTGCGCATACGATGTTTTACTGAAACGTTCTGAGCCTCACACAGACTATAAGACGTCAACGTCAGAGAATGACCTGTTTCGATTATCCGCCGAAATTCGATGGGGCGTAAAAGGCAAAATAGCGGTGAAGATTATATGCATGGATCGTTGAAAATCTGGAATGAAATTGCGTAATGGTGAAATATTTTGTTGACATTACATGATGGAATTGAGGTATATAAAATGAAACATGAATCGATTGAACAAATTGTTTCGCTGTGTACAAGCCAGTATAATAAACAGGGGCCTGTGACTGTGAAGGAACGTGCAGTGATCAGGTACTAGCAGAAAAAAGGCTTATTAACACCAAAAGATATGAGTACAACACGAGGGAAGGATGTCCCTTCCGCTGCAATCGTAAAAAAGGTAGGTAGCAGAGTTTAAGCGTGACAGGGAGAGCCTTGACAATAACCCCCTTCCTTGAATGCCTGTGAAATTATCGAGAGAATCTACTACCACCACCAAATGACTGGGAGTATTGCTAGTTCAGTAGGCACATTCCATTATCACGGAAACCTTGCAATGAAGAATGTGACAGCTCCTTGGATTCCAAACCTTCTAACATCTTATAAAACCGTTCTGTTCGAATCTGAACCAGAAAGGTTCTTACAACGATTTGTGACTGTGGATGAACCACTTCCATGGGTCCAAAGAACAATGAAAACAGTAGAAGCATTTGACATGACAATCATCAATTTACGGAGGCCATAAACGGAGCAATTTGGAGGTCAGTATGAGGTGGTATTACGATAACGAAACGCGGGAAGCCAAGGATATGTGTGCTTTTCCATCGGGACAATTTGATAGTGCATAAATCAGGCATTACCTTGGCTACAATCCAGTATCTAGGTCAAGTTTATCTATGTGAGGCTCAGAACATATCAAGCACCCCTCGTACACTAAAACAACGTAGGTCTGCCTTTAGGTCAAAACAATGATACCTGATACAGGAGTGGCATCTTGTCATAAACAAACAAACACTATATGTCGACGTTATATGTCCGCATGTCTACGTTGGGAACTACAACAGGAATTCCGGATGATATAATATAACTTTGCCCTGCACTGTAAACAGGAACGAAATGGTAAACGTAACGTGCCCCACCAAAGGCACCCGTCATGAACACACGTGAGGGCAAGTCAAGTGTTCACCTGAAACAACATATAGAACAAGTCAAAATAGGGAATTGCATCGTTAATTATTTTGTCACTGATGCGTCAAATTGGAACTGTCCTCCACATGTTGTAACCCCGATGAAGCCACTTCTGAGCAGAAGTCGTAACGCGATCTTAGAAATCTTTGTAGAAATTTGTGAAAAGTAGACACCAAAGGCTTTCTTTAAGAAAGAAGCATTTCTCCTGACTATGTAAGTTTATCAACATTGAAGACAAAAAGAAAAATATTTTATGCCAGCTGAGATAACCAGCGTTCACAACCACCTAACACTGATGACCGGCCTCATTGTCCTATCTATATGGTGCTGATTCAGGATCGGGTCCAGTGATTGTCTGCCAGCAACGACAATACACATACACCGCAACACTTGTGGTATATCCTATGGTGATTAATGTCTCAGGCATTGACTTGTAATATGGATAAGTGCTCAACACGACCCCTGATAATAATCCAGGTGAAAAGAAAATTACTTTCTCTGAATTATTTCATGCAACCAGGTGGTGTCGTCGCTATTATACACATTATGGCACCATGTCCTACCATATAGTACCACCAGATAATGCCAACACCCGACTACCAAACTGCTGGCTGGACTTAGTCCCAGGAGTACATGTTATCTCCACAATATATGAAACGCAACGCAACGCAGCGCAACGAAACCCAACCAACCGACAGGAATTACCACAGGCGTACAGCGGGTCAGGCAACATGCATCTCAAAATAAGATGTTGTTTGTACATTATGGAAATGCTTGTCGTAAGACGCGACTAACGGGATCGGGTGGTCAGGCTCACTGACTTGGTTGATGCATGTCATCGATCCCAATTGCGTGGATCGATATGAAAATTGGATTGTCTGGACCAGACTCGATTATTTACAGACCGCTGGAATATTGCTGAGTGCGGCGTTAAACAACAAACAAACAAACAAAATATAATGGAAAGAGTCCGGGTAGAACACGATTATAATATCAGATAGCGCTGTCCCACAGCGCAGTCTAAGTAAACACATAGCTTAACTCCAAATGCTCGAGTAATCAGAGTGTCCGCTTCCTTCCTACCATGTCACGGCAGGGTACACCAAGTCCCCGCGTTGTTACCATACTGCGTGACGAGCAAACGCTTCAACCACTGAAACTAGCCCACCGCTCCTCGTTACCAAAGACTTTCATTATAACATATACGGTGGGGACAGTGTAGGCGACAACTAATGATATAACGTTAGTGAACTAACTGGTCTCTGTTGAACCATCATAAGTTACAGTGTGTCGATGAGGATGTTTTAGTCACCATTTACGTTTGCTCTTGACCAGTGAATGTTTGTTTGTTTGTTTGTTTGTTTGTTTGTTTGTTGTTTAACGCCGCTGTCAGCAATATTACCAGCTCAGTGACGGCGGTCTTTGAATAACCGAGTCTGGACCAGACAATCCAGTGATTGATATCATGTGCATCGATCTACGCAATTGGGGTACGATGAGATGCATCAACCAAGTCAGCGAGCCTAACCACCCGATCCCGTTAGTCGCCTCTTACAACAAGCATGTGTTCTGAAGACGTATTCCTTGGCAAGTGATGAATGCTAATGACTACAATGACTTGCTGCTTATTGTCCATACATACAGTAAAATTTATGCAGTTGAATTGTCTTTTGAAACCAAGTATGAGCAAATATATAAGGCGTCTCCATTATATTAAGGCGTCTCCATTGTTGGTTTAGCAAGATTTGATTCCACCGAGTTCGTTATGGGCCATATTTAGGATAACGAGGGTGTGAAGGGATTTATTGGATCACAGTGTAGTTAAATTAATAGTATTACTGTTGTGCAGACGATACAACAATACTCAACCTGGGTTACACGATCATTAGGTTTCCTTTATTGAATATTGCTTAAAATGGAAGCTTAATGTCAATATTTCCAAAACCAAAATGATCATCTTTGGAGGCCCAGCAAAATCCACCAAATCAATATTATATTTATGAGGAAAGATACTGGAAATTGTTGATAATTATACATGCCTTGGTATAAATCTTCACAGAAATAGGACATTTGTGGTTTCTGTAAAAATCATTAACAGCAAACGCGACAAAAGCAATGTACTGCCAAATAAAAAGAACTCGAAACGTTAACCTTACATTAGATGGCAGACAGACATTCTTTATTTCATCCAATAATTGAAGAGTACATATGACAGTAAGTTAGGTCAAACTGCAACTGAATTATTTAAAATCGTAACAGATCTTAAGACTTCAATTTTATGTTTTCAATGAACCCCTGAACATTAAGGTGCTTAAACGGATAATTTCCTTCTGGCATTAATTAGCGAATACTAACGGTCCCTCATATAATCCATATACTTACATGATACTAGATTATGTTGTTAATGAAACATCTTATAAATGGATAGAAGCAGTACTAGTAAAACAACGTCGGATTGACAGAAGTATAAATAAATACATCTTTTTTTACAAGGCGATTGCTGGTTTGAAAGGTCGAAATAAGATCAATTTATAGCGAGAATATATCAAGTTCAAAAGCTTTATAACCGCCTCGCCTCCGCGGTCTACTGGTAGAGCGTCAGTCCGGTCAGGTACGGGGTTCGATACCCGGCCGCGTCATACCAAAAGACGTTAGCTTGTCTGGCGCTCGGCATTAAGGGGCTAAGACAAGGACAGGTCGGTATACTGTGTCTGAGTGGGGAATTCATGTTAAACTGCGGCATGGTATCTCATTGGGCTAGCACTATGAAATCGGTATTAGTCCGGACTTGTACAAGCACGCACACACACGCGCGACGACGACAAGGAAGACAGTTGTTCGGATATGCAACGTTTTCATTACAATGAATGCGATTTTTAGAGTCAGTTTACTCCCTTGCCTCGGGAAGATGTCAGCATCAAGCGAGAGGGACTAAGATTTTGCCCGCTGTGCTGAAACAAGAGACAGAAAACAAAGAAGGAATTCGAGGAGTAAATAATGACGCTACGGATAAAGTTAAACAACTGGAGACTTCACTAGGAAATGTGATTCGGTGGAGAGGTCCGTCAACACTTTGGAAAAGAAGTTTCCCGATGTCCTGAAGGGATCAGAACAACGAACAACGAAGTGGTTTGTAATGCTGTGGTGAGAAATCTACCGATTGACCAGCGTGAGAAGAAGGACCCTGCTACCATATGTCGACTGGTCAACCGCGTTATAAGGGACGGGTTGAAATTGACAGATGTCCGTGAAGCACGTGCAGAGAGTAAACAGCGAAGCGACAACAAACCGGGTCTTGTTTTGGTGTACTCAGAACCCGGTGATCAGAAAAGGAATTTTTTCCAGTATAAAAGGAACTTAGGTGAAAATAAGGACTTCGCGAATGTTTACTTCAAAAGCGCAATGTCTCAGGATGAACTTATCTCACGATTTAATATGCAGACGATGATCACAGAGATCGGCAAAGGAAAGAATCTTCGTTTCCATGGTAAGCGTCTGGCCGCCAGGAGAGAACAGGACACAGTGTTGCTTGGTGCTTTGAACGCAGGCGGATGGTGTAGGCGCGAGTCAACTAATAAACAATTTAGAGAGAGTTCTAATACAACTAGATTGTGATATTTTTGGTGTTTATGAAACATTTTTAAGACACCATGAAAGCC